TAAGAACAAATAATCAAAGAAAAACCATAAAAAATAACCTTAAAATAGAAATCGGACGGTTTGGGGTCGGACGAGCAGAGGCGATTCGGATTGGGGGCGGCGGTCGGATTTGAGGCAGACAAACTTCGTCGGCGGCAGTCGGATTGGGGGCGGCGGTCGGAGGAGATTCGTCGTCGGCGGTCGGACGAGCGGAGGCGAGCCTAGGAAAGAGCGAGCGACGGGAGAGCGAGCGACCGAAAGAGAGAAGGAAAGAGTTAAAATGAAATGCCAGGTGCGGGGCTGGTCGTATTAGGGCTTCTACCGGCGGTTTTCCGGCGATTAGGACCGCCGGTAAAAAGTCACTTATCAACGGCGGTCCCAACCGCCGGTTCTTGTTGATATCCGGCGGTTTACCGTCGGTTTAGGGACCGCTGCTATTACCGCCGGCTTAACATAGCAAAATCACTGGTGAGGCCGTCGTTAAAAGCCGACTGCCAGACCGCAGGCTATGCCGCCGGTAAAACCGGCGGTCCATAAACCGCCGGTTAGAACCGCCGGTATTGGGCATTTTTCCTGTAGTGATCACTGAAGACTTACCTGAAATATTTTAAATTTATGGTTTGAGTTTACTAAGTAAACTTAGTGGGTAACTATTAAAATAATTAACATGAAAATAAAATATACATTACATATAACATTTAATATATATTTTATTCATTTCCCTTCCTTATTTTTATTTTATTCGTTTCAGTCAATTTATGCATATCATATTACAATTCTTCTTAACCTTTATAGAGCTTTAATATTTATTCATTTTTCTATTTCATTTGTACATGAGCACCGTCTAAATGTACCGAAGGTACAACTATTTTCATTTTACTTTTCCTTATCCATAACCTTTTCCTTTTTACGTGCACAGGTATGTTGCTTCCCCAGCCAGTGTCATACGGGGGTGAACTCCTGTAAACTTTTGCATGCATATCCTTTTCCTTTTTCATTTATTTTTCATCCATTCATATATAATTCATTCATATATATATACTTTTTATTTACATGTACGAATCATATACATATATATGATTGTTTTCTAAACTTCACTTTCTATTTCTTTGACATGCTCATTTCTACATATCCTTTTCTTTCGCATATTTATACTTGTACATACCATTGCTTATTTCAAGTAATCATTTTCAACAGTAAAAGGAAATATATAGTATAAACAATTACATATCAACTTCTTTCAAAATGAAAATAGAAAATGAAATAAAGAAAATTTAAACTTTTATAAATACCCACTTTAGGTCTTCTTCCAATAATCGTGTAGTTTGGAAGTCGTTAACTGTTCACAAGAATAGAACAAATTAATTAATATTAAATCTCAATTTGAATAATTCAACAAATATTGAATTTCTTTCATACCTCATAACATGTTCTCTTTCTTATTGAATTCTTGAAGCACCCAACTCCTTTAACTTGGTTTAGTCCCTTCTAAATTTTCTCAAATTTCTAAGAATTTAAATAGTATAAATTTTCATAACACTATTATGCTTTAACAAAAATATCTAAGAAAAATTATATGAAATACATTTTACTTACAACGAGGGGATCTTCCAAATCCCAAAAACTTTATTCTTCTCCCTCACAAATCTCCTCTTCTTGCTTCCAAATGTCTTCCTTATTATTAAATTGAATGTTTACACTAATTAGAGAAAATATTAGGAACAATTTATAAAAGATTTGGGAAAACAAACTTTTTCCCCATTTCCTTCCAATTTGTTCCTCTCTTCCACCGTCGTTTCTCTCAAACCCTTGCTTCTATAACAATAGGAACGAAAATGAGTTGTTTAATCTTACCCTCCAATGCAATCATTTGTAAGAAAATTTCCCCAAGCCTTCATGCAAATTGGCCGTCTGCCCGCTCCTCTGCTTCGTTCACGAAATGGAGTTTTACGGACCCCTGTTGGGTCGCAACCTATTAATAGAGGCTGGCCGGTTCGGTTGAATCGGCCCAGCCTAAACCGGTTATTACATAATAATTGGATGGCTATAATAATTTGAGTTCCATTTACGGACTTAGGGTTTTATTAGATTTTGCATATGATTATCACATGGCTATTGGATATCCTCTAACGAAGAAAGGTCTTTCCAACAAATTATGAATCTCTAAATTCCTCCATCTAATGTAGTGATGATTTAGTTTTTTAAAATCCATTATGTATACTGAGACCTCAAGTGACGAGATGACAAAGGAGTCTGTGAAGGGGTATTAAACTGGCACACTAGTGCTATTTGCATAGAGAATAATAATATCGGAGACTTGACCATAATATAATGTTAAATATGACATGTTTTGCATTAAAAAAATGCAAACATCAATTGGAATATTTATTTTATAAGTACTATTATTTATCTTTCTTATAACTATATAGGCTTTTTAGTGTTCCAGTCGAGAATCTTTCAACCCTAACTTTAATTAAAATGAAGCCTCTCTCCTTAAATTATATCTATTATTTATGCGCATCAATATCATCTTTGTATTTATCATAATTTTATGTGAGTTTTGTAAAATTTTAGGAGTAAGTTATGCATATTTTGTATGAATGATGATGTAAATGTACTAATCCTAAAGTGAAAAAGATTGGTCAATTAGTTCAATTAGCTCTCTTTGTTCATATACGATGGTATGAAAATGACTCATATTGTTCACTGTTAATAAGACTATCATACGCAAACTTTGCGGCAAGAAGAACAATATCCAATTCCCAGCTAGTGATACTGTTAGTTATTAAGTCCTAAACAAGTTTTCCAAGCTTTCATTGACACTGCCAGTCTATTTTTAGTCTGTGGGTGATAGGCTATAGAAAATAAGAGTTTTGTGCCAAGTTCATTCCATATTATTTTTCATAAATAGCTTCTAAATCTCACATCACAATGAAAGATAATGGTTTTAGGTGTTAGTTTTTTGTTTGCGTTTGAAATATACTTCTAAAATCCACAAACACATTTGCCCACTCTCTATGCGATTTCATGAACACAAGAACATATTTATTGAGCAAGTTGCATATTTTTATTTCATAGAATAAATCGCAACACAACAACTTTACATCACTCAATGTATCCTTAAGGTTGTTTGATTAGAGGAAGATAAGAAGAGATGATATGGATATAAATATGTCGAAAGAAGATTGAATAAATCTTCACCTTCAAGTAAAGAGTTCACTTGACTTCACCATGTATTTTAAGGTTCTTCGGTTTCCTGAAGCCTCAACTATGAGAGAAGGGAAAAAGGGATATCTTTGTCAGGCAACTCAATTGTGTTGTAATTGGCTTGAATTTTAGGCGTACAATATTCTTCTTCTTACTATAGGAGGAATATTTAAACTCATTAGAAGTGGTTACACAAGATAGACTTTGTCTAAGTTATCCTCTGAAGAAGGGAGAGGTGGCTAGCCCTCTTTGGATAAGCATGAGTTGGCCTTTTTGTCTTTTAACTTGGTTGGTAACCTGTAGCCTCTCATTATCTTCTTGACTTCACTTAAATTTCCTTGAATTTAGTCTCGTGTGATTTGGCCTTGTGTGTATGGAAAAATTTGACATAGCGGACTAATGATGTTTAAGTTGGCCCCCAACTAGTTTAGTTAGATTTGAGTCAACCCAAAACAGCCAATCTTTGGCTTGGCCATTTCTTATGGGGAGCTTTTTGAATCACTTGTGGTGTGAAAAGTGTGATAACAACTTACTGATGTGGATTGGAGTAGGGGAGGTTGCAATCTCTTGTGGTCATATTGGACAATTGTAACTACTTCCAGATGGCATTTGTAAGTCAAGGGGGTGGTAGAAAGCCCTGTTGTTGGTAACTTGCACCCTCTCATTATCTTCTTGAGTTCACTTCAATTTCCTTGGATGTAGTCTTGTGTGATTTGGCCTTGTGTTTTTGGAGAAGTTTGACATAGCCGACCAAAGGTGTTTAGATTAGCCCTCAACTAGTCTAGTTAGGTTTGAGCCAACCTAGAGTGGCCAACCTTTGGTTTGGCCATCCCTTATGGAGAGCTTTTTGAATTACTCGATGTGTGAACAACCCCGCCCTATAATGCTTTATGCTAGTAAACGTAACTCTTTTTGTTTTTGGTAATAAACAGCTCTTACTTGCAATGTAGGCGCGCCATGCATTAAGAAGGAAATGCTCACCTCTGTTGGATGCGGCATTATTGTCTAATTCTAGCGCTTTGTCCTCAAATGAGTGGAGGGCTGTTCCAGATATTTGGAAATCAGCAACAGAAAAATACGGGCATCGAACAGCTGTAGTGGATCTCTACCATGATCCTCCCACAGAACTAACTTACAGGCAGGTAAGGAGATGCTGCTTCCTTTTTGAAATCATATAGTAAGTTTCATTGGTTGATTGATCCCATCTTGTATTCCTTGGTAAATTCTAAAGTTTATAACTCTATAAACTTGTCTAGCATTGTGATCACATTTGCTTTTCTTAATATAGTAGACTCAGTTTGTGATGTTCGCACAAATAGCTATTGAATCACAACTAAAAAATGATTCAGTTTCATATTTGGTTGGCTACGATTAATAAATTTAATATGCTTCTCCCTTTCGAATCATCTATGCTAGTTCAATTCCCATCGTGTGATAGCTTTGTTTATGTCCTATTCATTAATGCCTAATATTGAATTTCCTTAATTGCTACCTAGGTGTCACGACCCGGCCCGGCTAGCCCGATAATATCGGGGCGGGAACAGACGATCGTACGGAAGAGCATTAGAAACATAAATCAAATACATTAGATAAATAACATCAGTACATAAATATCATCCATAAATAAGAAAGAGCCACTAAAACAACATCAAATACAGATAATCCCAAACAGTTCAGATCATCTCAACACCAATAAAAACTTTTGAGTCAACATTTCATAAACTTTACATACTGATCATACCCAGATACTAATTCAAACCTTAGACTTAAAGCATAAAATAAATGGAACCTTTCATCCTGAGGTCCCCTACGACGATACATGTAAGGTCGTCGTGCAGCCATTACTTTTCTCCTGAAAAAGATTTCCAAAACGAGGAATGAGCTAAAGCTCAGCAGGTAAATCATATCACAATTAATTTCATAAGATGCATATATTAAAAACATTTACAATTGAAAACTAATTCATTTCATTGAGCGAGTCATAACATGTACTATTCATTTTTCCTTTCATTCTTTCCTTTAACAATTGATTTCTTTCATTCATTTCTTTTCTCTTTCATATGCAATGCAAAATGAAAAAAATGAATATGCTAATATATCATCCGTCCCGGAAGTAACAGTTTTCGTACTTGATCAGTACGCAGTCAAAGTTTTGCCATTTCCTTTACCATTTGGCTCCGCAGAACCCCATTACCATTTGGCTTTACAAGCCCATTACCATTTGGCTTTGAAAGCCCCATTACCATTAGTTTGGTACTTCGCGGATCAACATGCTATGTAATTTTATTTCATTAAATTCTTTTCATTTTCTTTCATATCATTTCATTTATTCATATACTTAATTGTCTTCACATTAATGCATGAAATGAAAGCATGAACTGGGTATTCTTAAAATTAGGAACATCAAAACATTGACAGTAGATAAAATATTGACAGTAAAATAAACATATGAAATTGCATTCTAAATATGAATAAAATCTAACACTTATAATTAAAAGGGGTATGAATACCTACCTAAACCAATGTGGCACGCTTGATACAATTCTTCCACCTTACCCTTTAATGGTCACTACCTAAGAAAGATTTATAAAGTAAATGTGTCACAATCATAAGTCAAATTCCTAAGTCAAATTGCTAAACTCGGCATTTTCCCTTTAACCATTCCTAACGACAATTAAAGGATAATTAATTAAATAAACGTTGATTTTCGGATTTAATAAATAACTAAATTTTGAAAATTCATAAATCCTCAATTCATCCAATTATTTATTTTAAATTGATCTTAAACATATTAATAATATAATAATAATTTTCGGATTAAAATAATCCTAAAAATTAGAAAAATGAATTTTCGATAAAAACTTAAAATTTTTCTTTAAAACATTTCCTAAACCTTAGGAATCATTTTCATAAAGGTGCATTACAAAATTAAGGTTTTAGGTCAAAAACCCTAGTTTCTAAATCTTCCAAAATTTCTCAAATCTCTAAGTTTTTAACGTTAAAATATTCCTCTAAACATTTCTTAAAGATTTCGTGAAGAGATTTCGAAGAAAATTCCAAAATCCTAAAAACCCTAGAAATTTCATTCTCAAAAATCTAAAGATCTAAAAGGTTTCGTTTGAAAAGAATCATACCGGAGTAATCCTCTCGTCGTCCTCTTCGATTTGACGTAAAGCTCTCGCCGGAAAATCGTCGCCGGAGTCACCCTCGCGGAAGCCGCCCGTCCGTCCGTCCGCTCCCTCTCTCCGTTCGGTCCGCTCGTTTGCATGAAATGAGAAGGGAGGAGGGGTCGGTTAAGCCTAATAAGAGAATTTGGGTTTGCTAATTACCATACTACCCTCACTTAATTAATTTCGGCAATACACAATGATAAGGGTAGTTTCGGTATTATTTGGTTTCTAAAATTAATAACTCCAAAAATAAGCAAAATTTGGTATAACTTCTATATACCAAAACGATCAGAATTTTGCGTAGGATTTTCTAAAATTAATTTCGTTGCATTCCGTTAACGTTGAAAATTTACTTAAACCTCGTTGCGACGCTTTGAAAAGCGTGCAACGACCCATTAAGGTTATTTTCGGGTTTTACACTAGGTTAGAAAATAAGTGGTCCTAGAAGATATCTACTTCTTTTACTCTGTTAACAATTTAAGCATGAATACTAGCTTGCATCTCTCCCTTCTTAAAAAAGAGGGCGTATCCCTGCCCAATGCTCTTGCACTAAGGAATGAGAAAGGTTGGCGTATCTAGTCACTTGCATTATAAAGAGGCTTTCAGTTTCAAAAACTAATACTCTTGGTCACAATTGGACAACCTAACCATTGTTTTAAGACTCTTTCCTCTACATCTATCTCTTATTCAAAATATTTTTTTTTCTACATTTATCTCTGATTTGGTATCCTATATAAAAGTTGTTTTTATTTTTATTGCATATTACATAGACAGTGATGGCAAGCATGATAATCGTTGGGGAGCAGTAATGGCTTGTGTTATGGGTAATTTTTATTTAAAAAAATTGAAAGCAACTAAAAATCACATAAAAATTTCTTTGAGTATTTTAACAAATAACTTGCTTTATTTTTGAAAATAAAAATAAAAACAATTGAAAAACATAAGCCAAACATATTTAAAAAAAGAGAACAAAAATAAATAAAATGATCCCAAATGATCTCCAAAGTCTTATGATCCCTGTTATATCTTTACAGCAGTTAACCTATTTTAATTTCTGTAAGTATTGCTCAATCTTTCAGAAAATATTGTTTGATGTTCTTTTCTAAATTGTTCGTAAATAACATCCTAATATCCCAATATTTTTATCGCCTTTTTGAAAGGCATTTTTGTGGGTTTTAGATTTTGAGAAATCAGATGCTAACCGAGGAAAACACGTCATCTATGATTCAATTGCCATCTAACAGCTTGAATGACGTGTATCTTATAATGCCCTAATTTTTTCGAAATGATAAGATTAAACTTTCTCTCAGAATTATACCTTAGTTTTTGCACATCTCAAAATTCAGCAAAATCATATTTATTTCATTCTATGCTTTATTTTGATCATTTTGATATATAGGAGTGTTAAAAATGATGTAAAAGAGGGTTTTAAGTGGTATGTATGTAAATATAATAGTTTAGGTGTTAGATATGTAATTTGAATTGTTTTGAGTGTTATGTATGTAAAAATCCCAAAAGTTTAATAATAAAATCATTGTTTTGCCAGATTTGAAGCAAAACTAGATTATCTAATAGCATTGTATGCTTGATCAGTAATCTTAAGCATTGCTCTTTCATAGGGTGCAGCACATTTATAACATTATTCTCTTTGTAGTATTTTTTTTTTTCCTTCTCTTTTGCAGCTTGAGGAGGATATTTTGGATTTTTCTGAAGGCTTGAGAGTTGTTGGTCTTCTTCCAGAAGAAAAGATTGCCCTATTTGCTGACAATTCATGCAGGTGGCTTGTTGCAGATCAAGGTTCTTCCTGATTATGTTACCTTCAACATGATTTTATATCTGCTTGCTTTATATCTTGAAATTATCAACTTCACTATTTTTATTGCTAGTGGTTTATAGCAAACATGTGATGAATGTTTTGAGTGTAGCTAATATGCCAGTACATGATTTCAGTTTGTGGTATAACACAAGAACCTGTGCTCCAAAACTTTTTTCTCTGTTTCAATCATTTTGATGTCACCAATTGGTTGCATGTGACAGCATGGTAACAGAAATCCAAGCATTTTATTGGTAATCCTATCTTTGCATCCAAATCTTGGTCCTTGCTCCGTGAACTGAGCTAATCTTTTTTGGAAATGTACAATTATTTCAACACTCAACTATGGTTGATGCCTTGATTTTTGTTGACAGTCAGACTCTATTACCTCTTAAGAACAGGCATACGGTGAAACTTTTTCAGAAGTTGTATGATCTTTTTACATTACATTGTTATAAATTTGAAGCATAGGAAAATAATATGCTTTGAATTAGAAGAATGATTAGTGGCTAATAATAAAAAGGTCATGCCTTGCATCATGTAATGTTGATACGTTTCAGGTACCATGGCCACTGGTGCTATTAATGTTGTTAGAGGGACAAGGGCATCTAATGACGAGCTAGTGAAAATTTACAACCATTCAGACAGGTAGCTGGTGAATTTTAATAACCAATTCTGCTTGGATCCTTTCAATTAATGGTGCTATAGGCAGTTTATATTTCAGCCATGCCACTTACTTTTATTTGTTTTGTCTATAGTACATATGCTAAATTATCATGCTCATTATTAATAAATTCAATATGACCATTCATTAAAATAGAAAAAAGAAATGTTGGCCTCAATAATGAAACACTACCTTGCTATCTCTGCATCGCACTTAGCAGCCCGAACCAGCCTCCATTCTTCTATTTCCCATTCTCTTTGTGCACTGTGGCTTCAATCAAACTCATGCGCGCAAGTCCCCGAGTTTGAACCTCCCTCTCTCCCCCGTTCCTCACCCACGCGAGTCAACCTCTGTTCGATCCCTCGCATGCGACCCAGCCCCCTCTTCTTCTTTCGATCCCTCAGCATGCCGAACCAGTAGCCTCGTCCTCCTCTCTGTACGAATACACGAAGCCCACATGTTCCCACTTGCTGACGACCCTTTGCAGTCCCTCTCTCCACGGAACCGCCAACCCAAACAACACAACCCAGCTCCCACTTGAAGTTACTATCTCTTTTCCACATCTCTGAACGACAACCTCAATCTACACACGTCCAAACCAACACCTCACCTCATCATTTGCCATTCAACCGTCTTCTCCTCCGACTCCCTTTGCTGCAAATCAAAACCACTACTTTTGCTCCCGATCTTACAGGCCTGCTTGCGCACAACCACTTCAACCATCTCCTTGTCGGCGAAGCTGTTGGAATAAAAAAAATTAAATTAAAAAATGGAAAAAAAAAAAAAAAAAATGAACAGTACGTCGTCTCCACATTTCTGAAGCAACCGCCTGTTCAAGTTCGCATAAAATAACCAATAAATGAAAAGAAGAGGTTACACTCACCTGCAGTTTGAATTCCCATCTGCCTTGTTCGACTTCGGCACTCGCCTCCCGTCCTGTCTTTTATGTGCGATCATCCTTCCGGCCGAGTGGACCCGACCCCAGCCCTGACCATCTACATGCTAGCAGCCTCTAGCAATTGCGAGAGGCGAGCGATCTCCCTCTTCCTCCTACCATTGAACCGCGACACCAACTAGCATCACCTTCCACCTGCGACCAAATTGCGGCACGCGCCTGCCACCGAACTGCGGCACTCGCCTGCGATTAAACCGCGACACCAACACAACTTTTGCCTACGCCCTATCTGTGACCCCCATGCGAAATCGTGCGAGCAGTCCAGCCATCCGACTCTAGTAACCATGCCACGACCATGACCAGCCTTGCGCGCGTAACCCCCTCGGCTTCGATCGTGACTCATGCCTCTCATAGCCCACCGACACACGAATAAATCATTCCTCCCAGCCGTGTAATCCCATTCCTCTCACACATGAACAAGCCTTCCTACACCGTCTGAACCTTCTCAATTCCACTCCTGCTTCTCTATTTTTTGAAATCGTGAGTAAGCGTGTGAGTGGGAGGGAAATAGTTGTAAATATATTTGTATGTATATAGAATAAAAAGAAACTTAAGCCTCCCAATCGCAAATTGATTCCGAGAT